ATAGCCTCATCAGAGGCCAAAAAAAGCCAAAAGAAGAAACACAGGAGAGGGCTTTTCAAGTTGTAGGTCATTTCTCCGTCCTTTGCAATTTTAGAAATATATTGCCATTAATTGAATCTAGAATATATTGCCATTACTCGAATCTTCTTTTTCCCCTGAAAAGTTTCTCATGCCCATATTGACCTACTTAATGATGATGTCTTTAAGAGCCTCATAAACGGAAAAAGACAAACTCTCCAACTAGAAAGCAGGAGGAGCCTCAGTCCCACCAGCTAGCCAGCCTTTCAGCCTCAGCTGTTTGGAAGCAATGGAAGCTCCAAAAGACGAAGAAGCTCATGAACAAAACTCCGTGACCCAATATTCACTCTGCTGAGAAACAGTGACACACTCGGTTCAGAAAAATAGAAAGGTACTCCAGGAACAGAAAAATCTGTTCTGCACAAGGCAAATGCACTGCATGCAATAGTTAGTACCTGTCAAAGCCAGAAGGAAGGATTGCAGGCCAGAAGACCTCCTCTGTTCTAGAAGTCAACGTTGACAGAGGCAAACAAGAAGAATCGCCCGAGGCAAAGAGCAGAAGGGTGAGGGTATTCTGCACGTTAAATTGATGAGAAAACAGCCTCCGAAAGTGATTACTACCACGACTATCTGGCCAGGAGACCACACAGCAAAGCTGTTGTTTCATTAAAGTTTAAAGATGAAAGCCACGCATAGACTCTGATGCTGTCTACACAGTCTCACTCAGTCCCCGGGAGTGGCAAGGCAGAGCACAGCAGGTAGGTGAAATCTAAAGGAAGGAAACCAACCAAAACCCCCAAACACTGAGCACTGCAGTCAGTGACTACGATACTCGACTTTGCAGGAAGAAACTCTTTTCTCTAAGTGTTGGACCTACCTCAAATCCCAAGACCTAAGTTTCTACTAAAATTCATACAAATCAGATTTCAGGAGTGTAAGACAACCACTCGGAAATATCTTGTTGACTATTTATTAATTTCTTTCTTCATGTGCCATTTCATACCTGCTTACCTTAAAGAAACCATGTTTCCTGTTTCTCTGTCCGAGCCATAAATTGCTTTCAGGTGTCAAATTAGTTTCTGGGGGATCAATGATGCGTTCATAAATCCTGTAGAGAGAATACATTGCCATTACTCGAATCCTCTTTTTCCTCTGAAAAGTTCCTAGTAAAATCAATTAACGGTAAAAGTAGAACAGCAACAAAAAAAATTCATTAAACACAATATTTACTATTGATAGTTTTGAAGGTATATTACAATTTTGAAAGAAAAACAAAAAGGAGAAAAACTATTAAAATCACTAGCATATGAAGACTGCATAAAATTGAAATTCCTTTTGTGCAACTGTGAGGCGCTAGGTTGAAGAAACACAATGCCAGAACCCACCGTGGTACAGAGAGCAATAAAACAGGACCATCATAGCCTAGGGGTGTCCTTCAAACTCAACTACCCACTCTGGACAAAATGTACAGTCACAAACAAGTTCCAACCAGAGAAACAACCCTTTGGGATTATTTTCAGACTGTTTAGGATTTTGAATAGACTTCACAAAGAAATTTTATTCCACTTCTACTCCTGTGGCCTTTTTGTCTCTACATTTGTGTTAATTCACTCCTGCACCTGAACCTTTTGGTTTATCCACTTCTCCCCTGTGTGCCGCTGTTACTGAACTCACTTGGCCTGGGTGCTCATGTGTGTTTCCACTACTGCACATTCAGCTTGCCCATGTCACTAGCTCAGGTCTGGTACAGACTGGGATCTCTTTGTATACGCTTGTTACCTAGCACAGCAAAGGCATTTTCTTGGTTAGTCTTCAAGGAACTAGAAATAACAGCAATAAGAAATAACAATGACAATAAGTAACATGAGGTCCATTAGCAAACTTTATGCACTGCATAAACTTGCACATATGAATGCAATAACCTACATACCAAATTTCTAAAATTAATTCATGAAAAATTGTTGTAACATAGCATTTATAAACTCACAAAAACCTGGAGTTTTAAAAAGGTTTTGCTTTTTATTTGGTTATAAATTATAAAGTTTATATAAAGGTTATCATTATCAAGGTTTTTATTTGTTTATTTTTAGGGAAGCTGTAATAAAGTTTCCATAACACCTTTTTCAGGAGCTCAGACCACTACAACCACGATGATATCATTCTCAAATATGAAAAATTCAAGACCAAAGTTTCTGACCCTGGATTCCCATGTTGCCATGTCACATCAGAGGGAGTCATGAACTTACTGCTTCATAACAAAAAGAGTACACTTAACAAGGATATTTGAGAAGATGATGAAATATATTTCCATTACTATCCAGCTCAGAGGGAGTATGTATTGCTGTGTAAGCACACCCATGCCAGCCAACAGAAAAGACTCTGAATGTGTCAAGACTGTAGCTTAAAGTGGTGAAATAGTCTGTATGTTTAAAGGGGATGAAATTATTTTCCTTCTTTCTTTAAAGCCATGGCTGTAAAATGAACAGGAAAAATGAACACCAATGTAAAATACAAGTCAATCAGCACAAGCCATTGCACAGTTATCTTCCCAATTACACTCCAAGTGCTTCTAGCACAGGCTTACCAAGTGTTATCATTGATTTTTTTGTTGTAAGTTGCCACGTGTATTGAGTTTGCACGGCAAGGTTTTGGTAGCAGGGAAGCTACCAAAGTGGTTTCCATAAGAAGCTGCTAGAAGCTTTTCCTATGTCCGACAGAGCCAATGCCAGTCAGCTCCAAGACGGACCCCCGGCCACGGCCAAGGGCCAAGCCAATCAGCAACGGTGGTACTGCCTCTGGGATAACATATTTAAGAAAGGGGGGGGGCAGGAAACAACTGCAGAATTGCAGCCAGAGAAAGGACTGAGAGTATGTGAGAGAAACAACTCTGCAAACACCAAGGTCAGTGAAGAAGGAGGGGGAGGAGGTGCTCCAGGCACCAGAGCACAGATTCCCTGCAGCCCATGGTAAAGACCATGGTGAAGCTGTGCCTCTGCAGCCCATGGAGGTTAACAGTGGAGCAGAGATCCACCTATGGCCCATGGAGAAGCCCACACCGGAGCAGAGATCCACCTGTGGCCCATGGAGAAGCCCACACCGGAGCAG